TTTTGATTTACAAAAGTTAACTATTCGGCGGAAAAATAACTCACAAATTCATTTTTGTTAAAAATTTCTTGTTTAGTGAAAAAGTGCTAACGTATATTCAAACATACAGGTAATTAATTCAATTTTATCATTAATCTTTTCTTAAAAAATTTTTTCCATAACGTTCAAAAAATTTCTATCATTTTTAATATCCTGTTCTGATAATCCACTCATTTATTTTTATCATTTTCATTTTGATCATATTATCATATTGCTGTACATTATTATTTGTTACAATTAATTTAATATTTAAGAAAAATCTATTTTCTATTCCTAAACATATTGTTTGCTTAAATCTCATCAAGATCATGTTTCTTGACAGATGTCCTGAAGATGGAACGTACCTAGTTCCGAAACGTTGACAGTAAACAAATAATTAAATAAAGAAATTGTTTATTAAAAACTTTTCTTGTTTTTTTATTTTGTATTATTTTTGGATTCTTGTTCGAAACTCTACAAAATATACACAAATCCAAGATTCTACCATTCAATATATATATATATATATATATATATATATATATATATATATATATATATATATATCCTTTTACTTTACTCCAAACTATTTTGATTTGGATAATCATTCATACTTATTTATTATTATTTATTATTTATTTAATAATTTATTTTTTAACAGAGGTGTTCGTCACTAGAAAGACCGAAATTACCAAATAAAGATGTTTCACGGAATACTAGCAACACTGACAAACAGAGACCATCACCTTTGCCAGTTCATTTAGTTAAAGGTATATATAACCAAACAACTATCTTCTGATTACTTGATGAATGAAGTTTGAAAAAGTAGATAATGCAAATTGTCTAATTGTTAAAAAAATTTGAAACTTTGCCAATACTGAATAATTAGAATAATTTTAAAAGTTTGATATTTATAAAATGATTGAAATTTTTCAAATATTTGAGAACATTAGTTATTGCCTTTCCCAAAATCCGAAAAGCTACTTTTTCTGTTTCTTTCGAATCGAATTAATTTAAATTTTACTGCACTAAATACATACCCTTTTCTGGTATCGTAAATGATATTTTAGATAAAACGTATAATTTTTTTTAGTTTTTGCGGTTGCAATAACTAACAGCGAGTAGTGATTGCTTTGCGCATTATTAAAAGTGTGATTTATTTTTTGTGTTATATTTCATATTCGTTAAACAAATGGTCTATGCTAATGCCAGAAATGAGTATTTATTAAAGATCAGATTTCGTTTAGACCATTAACTGTATCACCATGCAAAGATTCATTAAAATCGTCAAAAAGGAATTTAACTATTAATTACGAAGAAACGGCTTTGGCGATCTCTACCAAAAACTTATCTGCATGGTTTCACGACTGATGACAGTTTTTGAATTTTCGAAATCATTTGTACTGCTCTGTTAAAGAGAATTATTAAACAGCTCGCCGATTATCTCCTACATTCTTCTTTCAATTTCAGTGTCAGGTGAATCAGAATATAAAATTTAGCGAACCGGATTTTCTGATGAGAACAAACTTCTCCTTGGGAAAGTTAATAATTATATAAAATGAATTATTATAATTATTATAGTATATATTTTACGGTTACGATGAAGTAGAATATTGAAATTTGTTTTAAAATCTTTTTTTTTTTACTAACATTTTGTCAACGTCTATTAAATTTCTTAGTTAATCTATGAACATAATCTATTTAGTTGGAAATACAACGTAATTTTTTTAAATTATTATTTTAGAAATTGGACAGCCTATGTACGTCAATATGTATGATATAGCAACGTTAACTGCTAACAAGGCTCAACAAGCCGAAGCGAGCTCAGATAGTTCAGCAGAATCATCGAGCGGATATAGTAGTCAGCCTGCTGCTTCTCCGCAAGTACGATCGACTACTTCCATATTCGATTCTGAACAAGAAGGTACATATATAATAAACGAAAACTACCAGATCGTTCAAAATTTAAAATGTCGTAATAAATAAAAATACAAAACTTCCATATTTATTTTTTTTCAATCAAGAGCAATTTGATTTTCCAATTGTGAAAGCATTTGAACGATTTTAACGCAATTGACATTATATATGGTAATTTTTGCTATAACAAATAAACTTAAGTAAAAATATTTGTTGAATTTTTAATAATGTATATTCTTAACAGCTTTCCTTCAGCATAACACTCCTTCTCGACGTTTTACCAGCTGCCTGAAACCACTTCCTCCTGTGAGAAGAACTTCAAGTATTAGCATGTCTGGACAACAATTTACTAAAGTTTTGATTTCAAATACCGAAGTAAGTGATATTGATTCAGTTGGTAATACTACCAATAATAACACTGCATCAAAATCTTCGTATTTTACATCATGTTTGGAGCAGCCGATATCGCCCTCTGTGCCCATAGGTTAGTTGCATCCAAATTGATTGTTTGATTGTATAACAATGTGATTACGCTTAGAATCAAATGTTTTATTACTATGTATGTTTCAGTGTGCTTATATACATACTTCTATTTAACACTAATCTCATTTTTATACATATTTATATTTATTTTTAATTAATCAAGCATCTGCTTGTTTATGCAGGTGCGGTAGCTGGTACTATAAAGGCTTTGACAGAGTCAAGACATACTCCAGCCAATCCTGGAGTTATTCGAAGAGCTAGTCCTGCCATAATTTCAAAATTGTCAGCGCTGACGTCTGATAATATTTTGCAAAAACATGTGAATGAGTCATGCATAATTAAAAATTTAAGTAAAGACAAAAATGATTCTCCTTCCTTTAGTAGTGCTAGTAATAGTTTCTCCAACTGTTCATCGAATGAGTCTGGAACACAGATTAATTCAAAATCAGATCAGCATAATTTTGTTTCCGAAAAATTTGATGATATTTATAGTACCCCTAAAGTTCTTAGTACTTTCTCAAGTGGAATGCATAGTCATAAGGCAGATATATATTCAAATATTACACAAAGACATCCAAGAAATTGTGAGATAAGAAACAATGCTGAAGACTCCAGCTCAAGACTTATAAATGAGTTAACTGCCAAATTTACTCCTCCTTCCAGTCCGATAACTTTCAGACATGAATTGCAAGGCCAAGATTCTGAAATCGTCAAAACACATAAATCTGATAAAATGCCACCAGTTCTTCAAAGAGGTGGACATGGTTTTATAAAACAGTTAAATACAAAGTTGTCACAGCAACAGATTGCAAATGTTGCTAGTCGAGCCAACATAGTTCAAAAAATCATCAACAATATTGTGCAGGTATGA